TCTATCTCAGCTTGAACAGTGCCTTCCAGACTTGGCATTGTCTTTGAATTCAGTATTGGTCATATAAAACTACTAGGTTTCATGCAGGTTACTTTAATTTTTTCTTTAAATATAGATGACATCATACTTAAGGTATGTAACATTTAGCAATCCATTGCTAACACTACTAGTAAGCTAATTGTTGATACAGTAGCTTCAATAGTGTCCATAGCATATTGTTTTAAGGTGATAGATTTTGTTATAAGTATATAACAATAACTTTATAAAGTTTATTAAGTACATGTGGGTTTTTTTCCTGTGAACCAAGGGGTTGATTTTAATGCAGTAAACCAGAGTTCTAGATCATAAATTAGGCATATTTTAATAATACATTCTATAAATTCAGATAAATTTTTACCCTTTTCCATTCCTCCCTCATTCACTTAGTCCTACACCAAGCTTCATTTCCCTTTTGATTATGCAAGTGTATCTGTTTGTGAAGCTGTACAGTACATTTGAAATTACAGGAATAAAAATGCAAGTGAAACATATGCACCTTTTTGCAAAAACAAAAAAGGAAAAGAAAAAGGACATTGTTGATGTACAACATTAAGGTTTAAGCTGTTGATACTGTTAGTTTGCTTCCTTATGAAGCATATTAATTAAAAGACAATTTACTAATAAAGAGGGTTTCTTTTTGGCTTTTTTTGGTGTGAGGTTTTTTGTTGTGTGTTGTTTTTTTTTTTCCTTATTTCTCCTGAACAAGAGAAATTTTGCAGCAGATTATTACTGGATTTGGAACACACTCCAGAGAAGACAGCTGGGAACCTGTTTTCATGAGACAGCAAGTGTTCTGCCGGGAACATATACAATTGTTTTTACATGTTAGGTGTTGCTTTTCAGAGACATCATTTCCATCATGATGCCAAGTCCTTTGAATAGCCCTTAAATAAAAAGCAGACTGTAAAACTATGTGGATTTTGTAAGGTAGTATCTCCTAATGACTTAGAATATATGAAGGTAGCACTTTGTTTTACTTAAAATGATGCAGCAAAAACAGAAGGGCTTTTTGAAAATATTTTAAAATACCTTCATGTTTAATATGTTAGGTCACATTTTGTACTTTACATTATTGGTATGTTTTCAGAATGTATTTCTTATCAGCACATTCCCATGACATTTCCATCTTGTAAAATCTTAACCCTTCCTCCTTCCACCCCCTTTTGTATTTACAGAGTTCACTGTAATTCTTCTGTGTCTTTTCTGATTAAAAAGAGCAGAGGAAGCAAAATAAAAATGTTGCAGTGTTAGTAAGAAAAGGTTGTGAGGCCTGTGTGTAATTTCCGGGCTTCCTGCAGTGGGCTGTGGGCAGTGGGCTGTGTCTGACACAAATGGTTTTGATTTTTAAATCTTTTGGTTTTAAATATGCAAGAGCACCTCAGATTATTATGGCTGAAATATCCATTTGTTTCCTGTCGAGAGCTGGGAATCCACAATCTGGTGCATGTAACCTGTGCCTTGAGTAGGTACTGAAATCCTGAGAGGGGCCTGGTGGGCCTGGTTGTGGAGGGGAGCATCACCCCTGCCCAGCTCTGTGGGGTGTCCTGGTCCCATGGACCAGCTGTCCCAGGGAGACCCAACTCCCCATGGGGAGCTCTGCGCTGTGCATCCTTCTATCTGCCCAGCACAGTCTCCAGGTTAGGCAGGTCCTCCTGAAAATTGTGCAAAGGCACATGGAAATTAAGGAAATAATGGGTGACAGCTAGCATGTCTTCACCAAGGGCAAAGTATGCCTAACAAATTTGGTAGCCTTTTACCATGGAGTCACAGCATCAGCAGACAAGGGAACAGCAACTGGCAATCTATCTAGACTCATGAAAAGCATTTGACACTGTTGTGCACAGCATCCTTGACTCTGAATTGGACTTGTTGGATGGACCATGTGATGGATAAGGGATTAGCTGGAAGGTTGTGGTCAAAAAACTTGTCTGTCAACAACTTCATGTCCAAGTGGAGATCAGGGACAAGTGGCAATCCACAGGGCTTCATATTGGGACAACTCTGCTTAACACCTTTGTAGGTGACGTGGGCAATGGGATTAAGTGTATCCTCAGCAAGTTTGATGATGACAGCAAACGCGAGGTGTGGTCAACGCACTGGAGGGAAGGAAGGCCAGCCAAAGTGACCTTGGCAAGCTTGAGAGGTGGGCCTGTGTAAACCACATTAAATTCTACAAGGCCAAGTGGAAGGTCCTGCACGTGGGTCAGGGTAATCCCACACACATATAAATTGGGTGGAGAATGGATTGAGAGCAGCCCTGAGGAGAAAGAGATTGGGGATGTTTGTTGATGAAAAGCTCAACATGAGCTGGCAATGACTAGCTGCCTGGAAGGCCAACTGTATCCTGGGCTGCATCAAAAGCAGCTTGGCCAGCAGGCCAAGGAAGGTGGTTCTCCCTCTTTACGCTGCTTTTGTGAGAACCCACCTGAGTACTGTCTCCAGTTCTTGGGCTCCTGACATAAGAAGGATATGAAGCTGTTGGAGCAAGTCCAGAAGAGGCTAACAAAGATGATCAGAGCTGGAACACCTCTCCTGTGAAGACAGGCTGAGAGACTTGGGGTGGTTCAGCCTGCAGAAGACTCTGGGGAGACCTTCCAGTACCTGGAGAGGGCCTACAGGAAGGCTAGGGAGGGGCTTTTTGCAAGAACTTGTAGTGGTAGAACGAGGAAAATGTTTCAAACTGAAAGAGTGTAAATTTCGAGACTGATGAGACGTTGGAATGGGTTGCCCAGGGAAGTTGTGGATGTCCCGTCCCTGGAAGCGCTCAAGGCCAGGCTGGATGGGGCTTTGGATAACTTGGTATTGTAGGAGAGCTGGCAGTGGTAATTCCTTATTTGACATAAGTGGTGCCCTTGCAAGGGCAGAAGAGCCAGTGGGGTCACCAGAGATACACATAATGCTAAGCTCTTTCTGCGTACTGGGTGTGCATTCTTCATGACTGTTCTAATCACACGAAGTACATGTTCTCGCTGTCTACCTTCCAGGCTGGGAAAGGATGCTCCATGGCTTCATGGGCATTGACCTGCACAAAAAGGATGGGTCTGAGTGTTGGGCAGTGAACAGTGGAGGCATAGTCAGTACTGATGCAAAACTGTCTCTGCAAGGAACGTATCAGAGGAATTGTTTGTCTTAGTGCTGCTGAAGAATGTAAGTTCTCTGTGCTTAGTGAAACTTTATAATTCTCCCAGAAGGGGAGGCAAAAGCTAAGACAGGGGCAGTTTCTCAGTCTTTAGCTGAGGCACTGAATAGGGGACGTATTAGAAAATACTTAGAGAACAAAATTTTACAGTTTGTTCTCTGTCCTGGTTTTATTTAAATCCTAAGCAAAAGTTTGGATTTTGAAACCAAATAATCCTTTCATTCTGCCTTGAAATTAGGAAGATGAATCAAAGCAAAAAAAGGAAGGGGGATGTTGTTTTAACATGTGACTGCAGTAACGCAACATCATCCTGCAGTTAAAAATGACCAGTTACTTCACGAAAATAATCTGGAAACAATTTCTCTTGCTGGCTGTTCTGGAAAGTCAGATGTTTTTCTGAAGTATGTCCTAATTCCTGAATAGGTAATAATATTCAAACAATATGTTTATCCAGCTTATTTGAGAAGATTAATTTTTTTTAAATGATGGGTAAAAAAAATCACTCTGCCACATGTGTACGGGATGAACTGGCTGTGTCCTGTCTTCTGCAGGCAAAGATTGTTTCTTGTTATGCTTTGGGTGATATCAGTGTGAAGCTTAAGAAATAAAATAATGTAAGTTAGATGCTGCTGATTGCCTTCTAGAAGATATTAGAACATGTACTTATTTCCTTGAAACTTTCAGGGAAGTTGAGGGGGATGAAGCCATATTATTGGAAAGTGACACTTTGTAAAAACACTTAGAAAGATGGAAAAATAGCTAAGAGGACCAGAGTTCTGTTAGCATACCTGCATATGTTGGTTTACAGTGAGGACTTTGAAGACTGTTATTTCGAGAAATTGTACAGGGTTTAGTTTCTTGGGCTTTTTCCTATTTAGAAGATTATTCAGGCTGCCCAAAGTTAATTGTGAGAAGTCGTACCATTTATGAATCTGCATTCTGAGAGCAGAACTTTAAACCACAAAATTTAGCATCCTGTCATTGGCAGCAATTACTGCTAGATGCATCAGGAGAAAGCAAAATAGGCTACTTTAGCTCTTTCCATATGATTATTTTCTGGCATTTTTATGTGTGGAACAGTGATGCTGAATTCTGAACAACCCATATGCCCTTGAGAAAGTAGCATAAATGGAAAGACAGATTTTTCTTGAGAGATTTGCACCACTTGCTTAAATAAGAATAAAGCGTTAGGATTTTTTTTTAATACTTTTCCCTTTCTTTCCCCCTTACATGGCTTAATATTTTTCTTTGGCAGTTTTGAGCAAAGACTCATTCACAATTTTAACAAAATTCAAAGCTTGCTTAGAAATCAGTTATTTGTTCTCATCACCTTAGAGCTTGTCCTTGCAAAACATAAAGCCAAAGAGCTGCTAAACCTGTTGGCATAAGTAATGCATTTCTTCTAAAATACTGACTTTCAAATTTTAATGTTAATATTTTTCATAATTCTTGGAAATATTTGTTGCTGCACTTAAAGAGGAGAAACAGAAGAATTTTTTTTGGCAGTTTCTGCTTTGTCTGCTAAAGTAAATTTGAAGAATTTTTTGTTTGAGACTGATATTTGCACACTTCAGGAAAATCAGCTTGTAAAAATTTTTAAGTACACAAAAATCTTAAGACACAGGTTCTTTTCCTTTGTTTTTTACCAGCTCATGACCTGCTGCTCAGTTTGGTCTGTGCCTCCTTTAATGACTGCTGATTTCAGTGACACACTATATAAGAATAATACCTTATCACTACAACTTCCATCCAGATAACAGGCTGATTTGGTCTTAAAATGTAATGGTGACCAGGATGTTCTTTTTCTTTGTTTTCCTTTCAGCCCAGTCCCTGAAAGAGTTTGCTCGGCTCCTGATTGCTGTTGAAGAGGAGAGGAGACGACTGGTAAGTCTGCTGTCAATCATGTTGCATTGGGCCCCTTTCTTGTATAAAATAGTACTTTTTTTCCTACTCTTTTTGAAGTGCTTTTTAGATTTTTTAATTATTTTTTTTTAATTTGTGTAGTAAATGTGAAGTATTTAATAAGAATAACTTGGTTCTGCATAGGCAGAAATGTGCAGAGTACTTTTGCATCAATTTAAAAACTGTTTTGTCACAATCTCCTTCCCCACTCCCCACCCCAAAATAACCTTTGAATCCTGCTGTACCTTTCTATTCCCCCATCTGGTCATATTAGTCACAGGGCAGAGTAATAAAGTAAACTGTAGACAAAGAGTTTATAGTGGAAATGTGGATCAGTATTAGATTTAATGAAATACTGAGTGTTGCCCAGTGAATGTATACTAATAATCCAATAATATGATAAATAAGTATTTAGGTGAGAAATCAAGGTTAATCACCCTTTAGAAACTCTTGCAGAATGCATTATGGATCAGATTTGTCAGATATGTCCTCTGTTCTGGTATTCTTGTTCTCTTTCTTTCCATACAGATGAATCTGCAGTATGCTTACATTTATATTTCTATTGACATGTATCTTTGTTAAGTTGTAAGTGTGTTCTTGTACAAGCATTAAAAAAAAAAAACCCTCATGAGCAATGAAACTACTTTTTTTCTTCCTTGGAAATTAATAATGAATAGAGTGAAGTAAGGATTAACCACGCTAGGGGGGTGTTTTAAATATTGTGAAAGTTTAACTAGCTCAGATCCATCCAATGACTATGTCTGTCCTTGTTTTCCTTCCTCTTAGTAATACTTAAGGAGGTGAGGAAAAGGATTTTCTGACTCAGATTTGAGCTAATTTATTAATCCAGGAAGAGGTTTACATAAAGTCTTCTTATTCCTATGAGTAAACAACCACAGATTTGGTCTTCCACTGTTTCTGTTTATATAAATATTTTGAAGTGGCAAAACATAACATTTTATATGGTACAGTTATTACCTAAACCTTTACATGATTTTTACTTTATGCTAAAGGAGTCATTCCTTTTTTTACTTTTGGAAGTTTCGGGCCTTTCTGTGGTTTATAATTTCATCTTTCCATGTAGTATTTTACTCTGTATCTCGCAGGAAGGCCATTAGAGTAAAAGAGGAGAAACCGTTACTTAAGTGAACAAAGACCAGTCAGATAGATACTTTTTTTGTTGATTTCAGTGTGATTTCAGTGGGAGTGCATGGGTTGTATACTGACCTGTTGGATCACTGTGCAGTCAGAGACTTGAGTGAGATTTCAGTCTGACAGAAAAAAATATTTTACAAGTGGCTGTGATTTTAGTAAAATTAAATAATCAAATTATTGTAAACAAAATGGCAATAAAGTTCACAGTGTGGAGAATCTGCTCTTGATGGGAAATCATTTATATCCAGCTTTTTGCTGAGTTTCAAATAGCCCCATTTAATTTATTCTTCAAGCTAAATGTTCATGCAGGGACCATGGAGGACACAGTTGTCATGGTAGTGACATTTGAGTAAGAAAACTCAGCAAACTTATTTTTCTGTTTTAAAAAAGTTGTGTCTGTCTGTTGGTAGAATTTGATGCAGTGTACAGACTTAAAGATGGTGTCTGGTTTTATTTAGAAACAAAAGACAGGTTCTCCTGACATTTTTCCCCTGCAACCCATTAATTTTCAGCTTTTTGTACACCTCATGCTAGAGCAGGCTGCACAAAGCATCATCCAACCTGGCCTTAAACAGCTCCACGGAAGGGGCTTCTGCAACCTCTGTGGGCAACCTGTTCCAGCACCTTAATACCCTCATGGTGAAGAGTTTCTTCCTGATGTCTAACCTAAATCTCCCCTCTTTCAATTTAAAACCTTTACCCCTTGTGCTATCACTACCTTCTCTGGTGAATGAATCTATTAATTGTATCTTATGGTATGTGTCATTGACGCAAGGGCTCAGAAGCTTGAAAAGAAAAGAAAACAAAAAAGCAATATAGAAGGTGTCACCTTTGTCAAAGTTAGTTGTTTTTTATCCTCCAGTTCTCTTACTACAGTTTTATGCATGCCATCCTAGAATCCAGAGTCTTCTGTGAGGACCAGTGTGCTGTGCTAGATGCTGAACAGATTGCTAGCAACAAGAGGTTTCTGCCTGATAAACTTGTGATTTAACTATAAATCTTCAGAACATTTTTTGCCTATTTCTGAGGAATGGAACATTATGCATACACTTGGATGCCTCCACTAGAAAGACTTCAAGCCAGCCAATTTGTAGATTAGTGGTGTTTTTAAATAAAGTTCTCAATGGACTGCAAATCTCAAGACAGGGCACACAGGTATTTAGAATTTTTTTTTCCTTCTGCATAAAAAGAGAAAACCTGTAAAAGTTAAAAAAAAAAAATAATTGTTCTTTTTGACATTTTTGGAGGGCTTGGAGAAAAACAGCAACTCACTGTTGAGACTATGGATACATTTAATCTATCATTAAAAATTTTATTTAAGTCATGAAGTGCGTAACATTAAAAAAAATTATTACATAAGCAAATACTGGATGTATAGGAATGTCGAATGACAGATTTATTTCTAATTACCAGCTAGTGGTCTTGTTTCCCTGCTTTGAGTTTTATATTATTAATTTATGAGCATGCGTATGAGCGCATGAATTAGATTTGAATGTGTATATATCAGCAATTTATTTCTCATCTGATGCCCATTAAATTCTTCATCAGTAAAATTGTTTTTTTGTTTTTGTGAACACAGGTGTGTTGGAGTGCTTGCCTACTGAATTTATAAATTGCTTCCAGTGGTCAAGGAAGTAGATTGAGAGGTGCTGAGCACACCTTCTGTCCTTCTTGCATAAAGAACCAAAAGAAATTAATTTTTGTTTTCTTTAGAATAAGTTAATGAAATGAGATATTATGAAGAGTATCACTGGGAAAAACACCGAAGTGTAAGGTTAAATAAAACCGTGTATCACATAAATAAATAATCTGCTGAGTAAAGCTTTGCAGCTATTATTCTTAGAAGTAGTAATAATGTGGTGTTTATTATAAGTAAGTTTTTTTTATCCTTGTCTTTTATTTTCCTGGTTCTAAAAAAATGAGTAGTAGTGTTAGAAAAAACAGAGGTTATGCACCAATCATTTTCTCTTAAAAAAGAAATAAAGGGAAAAGTAACTTGTAAGAATCCATTTTTACAATATACTGTGTTTTGTTTGATACCTGTCATTTCATGGTGTTGTTAATTTAATTATGCTGTTGGTAAATGATGCATTAAAAAATTCCCAACCAAACAGCTCTGACTCTGGGGTTTTACAAGAAGCATACCAACAGCATAAAAAGTCAGTTTCATCCCCACTGCTTTCCCAGTGACTTTAGTAACAAGCCACCAGGGAATATAAAATAAGGACCTTTATTTCCCAGTGATTTATGACGAACAATAGAGATTATATAACTTAATTTCATGTGAATATTTGTATCTCTATGAAGGGAACTTAGTTAAAATATTTTCCTTTTGCTATTGCTGAATTATATTGCTTCTGTTAAATAAGTGGTGTTTTGGTTTTTTAATTTAGAGATTCATGCATTCTTTATGTTTCCTGTCATTTTAAATATTTACTAAACTTCATAACAACTGTAAATGTAGTAGGAGACATTATAAAATACTAATTCCTTTTCCTTTTATAGGATTATGCTGTGTTGACACAAAAACAGATGAATTGGTTCATGCTACTGATTTCCTCTTCCTTGAGGTCCCTCATCAATTTGAGGCATCAGATGTGTTCTCATGAGTGTTATGTGATCTTGAATGTAACTCTCTGATTATTTCTGAAAGTTTACAAAATCCAAACTGAAAAAGGTCTCTTATGTGTTACATTCCTTGCTATTTACCCAAGTTTTTATGGTTTGTTGGTAAGTGATGAGTGGTCCCAAAGCTTTTCTCTCTAGTTTTGTGGGTCAGTGAGATGTGTGTGGTTACTTTGAATTCCTGACCAGTATTAAATACTTCAGGGAATAGTACAAAGATTCTGAAGTGGATAGTTGTCTGCTATGCTTGATGGCTATTTTTTTTTCTAGCATCTGTCTCTTTGTATCTCGTAATAGTCATGCTTCAGAGAGTATCTCATTGTTGAGGATTTCTTTTGTATTAAATGGATGTTCTTGTTGTGGTTCTGTGTTTGCTCTCACACAAGGGGTCTGATGCTATCTGCTTCCAGGGAAAGCATCAAAATATTCAGTTTCAAAAGCTGCACTGGAAGAAAAATAAATGAACTATTAAAACCAGCTATCCATGGAATGGTACATAAAATCAGATACTGAAGGACACAGCATGTTCTTGAGCAGAGTTAACCTTTTCTTTATAGTGTGAAATGGGTTACAGATTCCATCACAAGAATAAGCAGCCTTCTATCCACAGGTGCTGCTTATTACTCTATTTATAAAGGGGAGAAATAATAAAACCACAGATACTAGCACCCTGGGACTGTAGAGCGTACACCTGGCATTTTGTTTCAAATGAACACTCTCTTCACATGAAAAAAATAGTGTAAATGGTGTTTTGATATACTTGGTAACAGCTTTCAGTGCTCTTCACCACTCATACAAATTTTGGCATTTGGATTAATCTCTTTGGTAGCAACCTGTCTGCAAGGGGACAGTCTGGAAGCATATGACTACAGATTAGGGAGCAACACTACAAATAAGAGGACTTCTTTTCATTGCAATTAGGACTGAATTTTGTTTGTTTGTTGCGTGTGTTTTGTTGTTGTTTATATCTTCGTGTTGCTTTCCCTTTTTGCTGTTTTAAATTAATTAAAAAGCACCTCAAAGCTGATTTGATTTTTCTTAATGATGGCCTGTACATATCCTATTGAGCAATCAGGGTACGTTATACAGTGTTGTTAACATCTTTGGAAAAACTTCCTGTATTTGTGCATTAGACTAGTCATTTGGAAAAACACGCTTTCTATTAAAGAAGGAGTAAATCAGCATGGAATTATTTTATTTTG